GGTAATATGATAATTATTACAATAAGATTTTACTGAAAGTTTTTTGTCAAAATGCTCAAGGTACGTTATTATTGCATAGATATATTGTTATTGTACGAGTAAAGGCGCGGTGAAAATGATTATGGAAATTTGATTTTGATTTGATTTGATTTTATTATAGAGGTTGGGTCGCAAATAGTAAAAGGTTGAGAAACGCTAGTATAACTTAATCTAAAAATTAAAAAATAGACAAATAAATAAAAATAAATACATTTAGATGAAGGAGTATTCATTTGACTCTCGACCTGCAAACATCGCATCGATACAAATTAGGCGAAAGTTTACAGTGTGATTAAAAACGGGCTCCGGCCGCGTTTTTACCGTCATTATCGTGTATCAAGTGGATATACTATTTATAAACTATTTAAAAATTAAAATATACAGTTTTAACAATTAAAATGAGTGCTCCACCAGATTTATCGGTGAGTGTTCCTTTTCATACTGCTACTGTTAATGGTCAACCTATAAATACTCAATATCAGCAACAACAAATTCAACCAGAATGCCCAAATGTCCTTTTTGCACAAAATTCACAACCAAATTCAGCACAAATTTTAAACAATCCACCAACAACAATATATTATGTTCCTAACCAAGTACTATTACAATCTTCCTCAAACTGTCAATACAATCCTACAATAAATCCCACATTATCTACACCTCTAAATAAAGCTTATGATTCTATTGAGATGACACATACATTACAAAGTGAAGAATCTTCAGGGGAAATCAGCGACATTGAGTCATCGGACATCCACGAATGGCAAACTATACAACATAGTAACAAAAAACGTAAAATTAATCCTCCGACACCAACAGAAAACGAAGACACGGTAGTAACCAGCAATAAATTTCAGATTCTACAAAATGAAAACGAAAACGACAACAATAACAGTACAGAAAATACCAACAAAACTCCAGCAACCAATAAACCCCCACCAATTTTTATATATGGTGTTACTGAATACAATAAAATGGTTAATAATCTATCGGAAGTAGCAAAAACAGAGACATTCTATTGTACAGCATTAAAAAACAACACAATAAAAATAAATTCCCGGGACTCTGAAACATACCGAAAACTAGTAAGACATTTAAACAGCAAAAAAATTGTGCATCATACGTACCAGATGAAAGAGGATAGAGCATACAGAGTTGTAATTCGTAATCTACATCATACAGTGCCCATTAATATAATAAAAAGTGAAATAGAAAAACATGGGCATTTAGTACGCAATATTGTAAATATAAAACATAGAGTAAGTAAGGATCCTCTAATGATGTTCTACGTCGATATAGAACCTAATCAAAATAATAAAAAAATATATGAAATTCAATTTATAAACAACGCGAAAATAGTTATTGAGCCACCGTATAAAAAGAATAATATTGTCCAGTGTACCAGATGCCAATTGTATGGACACTCTAAGACATACTGTAATAGACCTTATCGCTGTGTCAAATGTGGAGGCAACCATATGTCAGCCGATTGTAAAAAACCTAAAGACACACCTGCCATATGCGCTCTCTGCAATGGAGCACACACTGCAAATTACAAAGGATGCCTAGTATATAAAGAGTTAATTAGCAGTAGAAACAGAGCAAGAGGAATATCATCGCACACTCCAGCGAACAATCAACTGCCATATAACAGAAATACAGTACAGAATAATCCGAACTTAAACAATCAAAATCACGCGACTTACACACAAGCAACAGGTGGAACAATTGTAAATGATGTCCATAATAATACGAACTCATATAACCAAAATCAAGCAACTTACGCTCAAGTAAAAGGTGGAACACATGGAAGCAATACACACAATGACATTGGAGAGATGATGAAGAGTTTCCTTAACGAATTCAAATCTATGTTTTCACAACTAATAAATCAAAATAGCGTGATCTTAAACATGCTTTCCACAGTAATAAATAAACTCAGTAATGGAACTTAAGTCACTACGAATTGCACAATGGAATGCCAACGGCCTAGGCAACCATAACACAGAAGTTACTAACTTTCTTGAACATAACAAAATTGATGTTCTACTCATATCGGAAACCCATTTCACTGACAGAACGATGTTCAAGATCCCTCATTACTCTATTTACAACACCAACCATCCTGATGGAACAGCACACGGTGGCGCTGCTATTATTATACGTAACACCATACCACACTATGAGGAAACAATGTATCAGACGGAAAAAATACAAGCTGCAGTAATCTGTATCAGTTCTCAACCACAGTCTTTTAACATCGCGGCAATGTACAGCCCTCCAAGGCATAATATCTCCACAGCAGAATATGAAGACTTCTTTAAACAGCTATCAAACAAATTCTTGATTGGAGGTGACTGGAATGCCAAGCATACAGACTGGGGGTCGAGACTATGTACGACAAAGGGAAGAAATCTTAGGCAAGCCATAGCTAATACAAACAGCTCTTACTTATCTACAGGGCAACCCACCTACTGGCCATCAGATCCAAACAAAATCCCAGATCTACTTGACTTCTTTATCCTTCATAACATGGCCTTAAATTATTTTGACATACAACCATCCTGGGATCTGTCCACCGACCATACTCCCATAATTGTAACACTATCTACGCAAATTATAAAACGTCCGCATATCCCTAAGTTAACAACATTAAAGACCAACTGGAATGTATTCGAGTCTTACATAAATGAAAATTTAAATTTAAATATAAGATTAAAGCAACCAGACCATATCGATAACGCTGTGCTTATTCTCACCCAAACTATACATGCAGCCGCAGAAATAGCTACACCCCCTCAGAATGACAAAGAACCAAGTGACAGCAATATACCCGTGTATATAAAACGTCTTGTAGCACAAAAAAGAAGAGACAGGCGCATATGGCAAAGAAGTCGCAATCCTATAGACAAAAATGAATACAATAGATTAACACGGCAACTTAAAACTGCTCTACAAGACGCGAGGAATGATACATTTGAACTATTCATCGACAGCCTGTCAAAAGAAGACCACAGCATCTGGAAAGCAACGAAATCATTCAAGAGGCCTACACAGCACATACCACCTCTAAGGAAAGACGATGGAAGCTGGGGAAAAACTGAACAAGAAAAGGCATCAATCTTTGCTGCACATCTCTCACACGTTTTTGGTGCACCTGAACTTAATAACCATAATGACGAAGAACAAGTTAAAAACTTTTTAGACGCTCCATGCCCAATGATGCTACCAATCAAATTCTTTACTCCTAATAATGTAAAAGAACAAATTTCTAGATGCAATAACTACAAAGCACCAGGCTTCGACATGATCACTGGGCTAATATTAAAAAAATTACCGAGAAAAGCAATTGTCCTACTAACAATGATATATAATAGTATCATAAGATTAGCCTACTACCCGATTAATTGGAAGTTTGCACAAATACTTATGATAAGTAAACCAAATAAACCACCAAATAATGTTACTTCATATAGACCAATCAGCTTACTTCCAATAATGTCAAAAATCTTTGAAAGACTTCTGCTCCAAAGAATCTCAGAAGACATCGAAATTAATTCAGTGATTCCAAACCACCAGTTTGGTTTCCGCGAAGCCCATTCAACTCTACAACAGTGCCATAGGATTGTAAAAAACATTAATGTATGCCTCGAAGAGAAAAAAATTTGCACTGCTGCCTTCCTGGATATAGAACAAGCCTTCGACCGTGTTTGGCATGACGGCCTCCTATATAAACTTAAGTCATCCTTTCCCACCCCTCACTATCTTCTTTTAAAATCATACCTCACAGAACGTTACTTTCAAGTCAAATTCCTTACAGAAACCTCTCATTACTATCCCATAAAATCCGGTGTCCCTCAAGGAAGTGTCCTGGGTCCCCTCCTGTACCTCATATACACTGCTGATATCCCAACAACAAATACGACCACAGTAGCCATGTTCGCAGATGACACCGCCATAATATCCATCGATGATGACCCCCAAGTAGCATCAAGAAACCTTCAAATACACCTGAACCTAGTACAAGACTGGATGAATAGATGGAAAATCAAAGTTAACCATAATAAGTCTAATCAAATTACATTCACCAATAGGAACATCATATGTCCGAGAATCAGACTGAACAATATACTACTACCAGTAAAAACAGAAGTCAAATACCTGGGAATGACACTTGATCAAAAACTCACTTGGAAAGCACACATATTGGCCAAAAAGAACCAAATCAACATGAAAATACGTCAAATGAATTGGCTAATAGGCCGAAAATCACAGTTATCAACAGATAATAAACTTCTATTGTATAAGTGCATAATAAAGCCTATATGGACATATGGAGTGCAACTATGGGGCTGTGCAAAGCCTTCTAATACCAAAATCATTCAGAGAATCCAATCCAAAACACTCAGAATGATTTTCAACGCGCCGTGGTACGTTAGTAACAAAACTCTGCATGATGACTCTGGTATACCGTTCGTTGAAGACGAAATCAGCAGACTAACAAGAAATTATTTAGAACATCTGCCAACCCACCCCAACGAGGAAGCAAGACAACTACACCTCCAACCAGAAGTCAGACGAAGATTGAAGAGACAGTGGCCAACAGACTTTATACACTAATTTTAATTTTAATTTTACTTTTCATCTCAATTTTAGTTTTAAATTATAATCATACATTAATTTAATTTGTTAGTGTTAGTATTGGGAGTGTTATCAATGGATAATTTCTCCTCTCATGTATTTGCAATAATCACATTTACTAATAGCTTGTAATAGCAGATTGTAAATTTGCAAATTTAATAAAAAAAAAAAAAAATTTAGATGAAGAATACATTAAATACATAGAATGAGTTGTTGGATCCAGTCTCTTTTTTTACAATTTTATCATATATTATTTACAGTATTAAGAATGATATTTATGGAATATTATAGCGGATAGACATTTGTAATATAATTCTTACCTGCGTTGACAGCAACACAGCCCTTGTACACTCAAACACGTTTATCGAACTTCTGTCAGGTGTTGGAGCATAGATAGTGATGACGTAGGTTATACCCAGTAAGGGCATAAGTACTAGTAGAGCCTTGGCTGCTTTATGATACTGCTGCGTTTCCACGGTATTGGCCGAACGCAGTTTGGTGATAAGTACCCACATGATGCACAACAGGAAACCCAGATTCAGGAGCAGCACTATGACCGTGGGGGTTTGGTATATCCAGTCGATTGTGTTACTTTCAAACCAACGACACTGCAAAGAAATATTTAATTAAAATCGAAAATAGTGATTGCTTTTATATAGAGAACAAAAAATAAATGATTAAAGACGCAGTGGACCAGAAGTCTGGAAACGCCTGATTATCGCTTAAATGGATGATCCGAATTGTGCAAAAAGGGGACCTACTCTGGAATATGATAATTTAAAATTTGATGCTTATAATGTTGACCAGATTTACCATTTTTCTACACTCTGTAGTCTCTAGTTTTGTAATAATTCAGTAAATAAATTCTGTGATGGTGGTACTGACCTTCCTTTACCGACTGGCGTTATATTATTTCATTTTGGCCTTTAAGAGATACAGTTTAATATTTTTGTGGTTGGTGCTTTTGACCGTGCACGTGTACATAAGTATCAAAGATATTTGAGTTGCAGATTCACAGTTTTAGATATTGGTGTGCTTTTTACCGTTAATAATACGGCTACGGGGTTAATAATAATAGTGCGGATCTTTTTATAATATTTCTTTCTAGTATTTTAGTGGAAAATATAGTCACATGTATAGTGATTTGTAATAGATTTTTTTTATTTGCAGGTTATGTATCCTTACGAGAAAGAAATAAAGCATATTTTAGCGATATGGGCTGAAATTGAGAGCGACGATGTATTAGGTGGACCTTTTGAAGACCAAGATGACGTTTTTGAGAACAGTGATCACGACTCTAATTTAGAGCTATCACAAGGAGAAGAGCTACCAGATTTTAACAAAACTCAGCAAAATCTAAATACTCGTCTGTGCTTTGTGAAAAGGAAAAAAAAAACGTTATGGAATAAATTTACCGTGTCTGGTTCAAAAAAAGACCCAGAGCAGAAACGTATAGACTCAATCTTCTGTACTAATTAGAAAAGCCAGAGAAGCAAAAACCATTATTGATGCTTCGCAATTGTTTTTTCCAAACTCCACAATCAGCGAAATAGTCGAACACACAAACAAATGTATTTTAAATCTTCGGACAAATTACAATAGAGAAAGAGATGTTAGTAGTACAAATATGAAAGAAATTTAAAAACTTATTGGTCTTTTATATTTTGTTGGAGTCTTGCGGACATCACACGGACGAAAAGCTCCTATAAGAGAAATTTTTGATGGGTTTGTTGAGCGATGCAAAACCAAATATGTTCTAATCGAATTTGTGACAATTGATGAAATCCTTGAGTCATTTCGCGTCAAATATGAATTTCGGCAATATCTACCGAATAAACCTGCAAAGTATGGAATCAACATGTTAGCGCTTATTCATTGCACGTCATATTACACCTATAATTTAGAGGTGTATGTTGGGACTAAATTAAATGAGCCTTATAAAGTTGACAATAGCGCCTCTTTAGTCGTACAAAGAATCATTAAACCAATTTCTGAAACTGAAAGAAATGTAACTTTCGATAATTGGTTTACGTCGATATTTTTAGCCTTAGTTTTGCTAAAAGACACAAACTAACTGTAATAGGTGCAATTCGCAAAAATAAACAAGAAATGCCTGATATTTTTACCGCAAAGTTAAAGCAGCGTAAAGTTACTTCCAGCATTTTTGGTTTCACCGAAAACATGACTTTGGTATCCTACAAGCCTTAGAAAAACAAAATAGTTACATTATTATTAACAATGCATTATAAAGAAGTATTTGCTTCATAAAATGGCGATGCATACAAACCAACAACGATTACATTTTACAACGCAACAAAGGAAGTTGTTGATACTGTCGATGAGCTAAAAGGAACTTACTCTGTGTCACGAAAAAGTTCCCAATGGCCTCTAACATTATTTTTTATTTCCTTCAATATATATCTGAAATAAATAGCCATATCGTTGATGATAAAAATAACAATACTTATAGTACTCGCCAAAACTTTTTAAAATCATTAGCAATGAGTCTCATTACACCGCAACATGAACGTTGTCGAGAAATAATTATAATACCAGTAACTATGAAAAGTCGTATAAAAAGTATTGGACATCCCGTAGGTATCTACGCAACATAACCATGATGTTCCAGGCAGATGTCATTTTTGCTCATCGAAAATGAACAGAAAAACGAAGAGACTATGCGTACAGTGTCAAAAGTATATATGCCGAGAACATACTTCCCAGCTTTGTACTGAATGCTAAAAAAGCCAACAATAAAAAATAAAAAGTTGTATTATACGTTAAAAAAAAAAGATTTTTGGTTTATATTTAAGTTCTATTTATTCTAATCATGAATGTGTTGCTTGTGTGAGTCCATATCAAATAGGTAAAGAAATAATAATAAGACTTACTCACAATCAATTTAATTTAACAATCTGACGACCGGTTTCGCTTTCTACAATTTGCAAAGCATCTTCAGTTCCAGATACAAAGTTAAACTAATGCTGCAATAAAATTCTTTACCTATTTTCTATTTAATCTTTTTATTATTTAAATCCAAAACTAGGTATACGGTCGATTAAAGTAGAAAATTTGTTCAACGATATTTTCCAAAACCATTCTCTTATAGTTAAGGCGACAGTACAACAAAATGTAAAGCACTTTGAAGACACTGGACGAGTAATTGGCATCGAACAAATATACCAAAAACTGTTATAAATTATAATAAAACTTTAAATTTAATGCAAAGTTTCGTTGAAGATCCACATTTATATCCTGTAGAGCTGCATAAATGTATGATGTAGGTCATTTTTCAGTCTTGCGTGTTGCGCCGTTTTTTATAAAAGGAAATTTAAGGAGTGATAAGCCAATTTGAATGAGATATTGTTTCAGTATGAAAGAGCGCATTTTGTTGTTAATCTTGGCGTTATTTATATCAGACATTTCCCGGACGATGGATTGGTAGATTAGGTGACATTGAAGAGCATCGTCGTTCACCCGATTTGAACCATAAAGATTTTTTTGGGAATACTTGATAAGTAAAATTTATAAAACTAAACCAAGTGTTGCAGAGCTCAGACAAATAATTCTTCGTGAATCCATATTTATTTCTAGAAAGACATGGAGAAACGTAATAGACGTATTCGACTATCATTCAGAATACTGCTGTTATCGTCAGCGATATCTCTGTGTACTGGTTATAGCGAGTTATTTAGTATTTTTTGGAACTTTTTTAATCAATCATGTTAGTCACGGATGTCCGTGGCTTATCAGCTACATAGCAACTATTTTGTTAGTGTAGTCGTGATCGTATTTAGATTGTTAGATTAGATATTAGATGCATGGTGTATTAAACTGCGCATCTCTAATTTTTATGTAAGCGCTATGTAAGTTAAGAATATATTTTAAGATATTATCTCAGAGCAGATCATGCCACTTCCTCTCCAAAAACAATTTTCATTAATATACACCATCACCCACTCAACCACATATCTTCACCTTTTTATACTGCGTTTTTCCTACCATCTTTACTTTACACACATAACCAGTAATTCATGTTCACGTACTTATAACTTAAAAATTTTTTTTATTTATCTTTACTAGGTACCAAATGTAGTTTTTTGACATAGAGGACCTTCCATACTTAAGTTTTAAGTTGAGTGCTACATGAACACCACATTATGATCACATTCTTATCACATTTAGATTTCAACTCAACAACATATCTAAACACACCTCCACCTACTACATCAATACTCAATAATAAATCTTTTAGGACCCATCTTCCCACATGTGCCTTTTTACCATTTTCTAGGTATCAAATGCCTCACAACATACAGCGTTTTTTGACAAAATATTTATCTTAAAATAAATAGATCCTTACACATATATAGTTGGTTGCCTATCAATCCTACAAAATTTTATAAATTTCAGTTGACCTACATTAATTTTTAAAAAACCAATTTTCAATGTTTCAAATATACCTATCTGATTAATTTATAATACAGATTACAATATTGATGGCTGATACTGTTACATTATTATAATTTTAACTTTTTCAATTTTAAATAAGGCTGACATCTGTCAATTTTAGACAACTACCGTAAGTTACACTGACTGCTCTGACACAACATCCGTCCTAACATGTCGACAATGTCATTTTGATCAGTTGTTATCAACAGGTCCTCGTAGACACTTCGTCTCAGGACCATTTTACTCATGTAGAGTCATACGCCGCCATGTTACCTATCCAACGGTAACTTAACCATCACAAATTATAAATACTAATACTGTAAAACAACTTCAAATTTAAAACATTTAAAGGGTTTTTACCCATATATTTTGGTGGCTACTAGCATGTACATTGTACAACCGTAAGTATTAACCACATTTTGCTCTAACCTTTGTCAACATTTTCATTTAACGTTCTTTTTAATTAAAGTGGTTATATACTTTCAGGTTTGCACTGATGATGGATTGTTTAATCCGAAAACGTTTTGCAATGTTTTTGTGATAGCCCGTTTGAGGCATTTTTATATACCTTTTATAAAGGATTTTAAACAAAATTTTTTTGTGATATATGGTATACAGCCAGCTACAGGAACTTAGTTTCCTCGTGGAATTTTATATTTTAAGGGTTTTCTATAAAATACAAACACCCTGTATTTTATTCAAAGTTTAACGAAAACCGTGTATTTCTGTAAAAATTAACAAGTATTGTCTTTTTCCATCCAGCCTCGGTCATTTTATACAAAACAAAATAAAAACAAATCAATACGACCTGCATCCAGACATATGATCTATTTTATTTATCGCATCCTCTTCGAGAAAATGGCCCAATAAAGATTTAAAATTGGTAGTCGAACGCTTTATCTATAAATTTCGTCTGCAGCTGAAGTTGTTTTCTGCGACTGGAATACGAATGGTGTCTACGTTCACGTCAGTATGTATTATGCTTCTGCAACACGAACACAAGCCTTTCAGATTACACATCAGCAACAATGTGGCCGTAGGCGTGGGCTCAGTTTTAACCAGATTCTTTCTTTATCCTTTGGACTTTTGAAAGGAAAATTATTTTTAATATGAACGTGAAGAGTTTTAAGTTGAATAATATATACAAAAAAATATA